TAACTTGCAAAATTTGCCTTGCTTCGCATGATCCATTTCCAATTTGACAACTTTTCCTCTCAAAGAAATGAAGGAAGGATTTCTCTAATTCTTGTTTCCTATGGCAATTCTCCCAGGTTTTAGGGGCAGGATTTTAAAAGAAGGAATTCCAGATACAGAGCATTCCTTGACTTGGAGTAGAAGAGGAGTAGGTTCTAGTAAGGAATATAGTTCATATGCAAAAATAACTTGAATAGGAGGTGGAAGTAGGAATAAATAACCTATAAAACGTGCAGATAAAATTCTATTAGAGGAGAGAGAGTACATGCAATTTTGCAAAAGTGAATTTTAGCTAGGGCTTTTAGAAACGTGTAGAATTAGTTGAGTCGACCAAGTGTAGAGAAAATAGGAAATGCCATTTGGAAGCAAATGATTTATTCAGTTAGTCAACTGACAAATACGTTGAGTGCCTCTATGCAAGGTAGGGCACAAAGTGCAGAGGGGACGGGGGACTGTAAAAATGTGCAAGACAGCATCTACACTCATTGAGGTCGGCAGCTAAGAGCAAGAACAGAAGAGGACAATTGGCATGTATGGAGCACTCACCTGTGCCTGGCAGCATGCTAAGTGTATCAGTTGTGTTATCACATTTGGCATTAATGCACGTAAATTACTTAGCCAGCTGCCTGGCACAGAAAGAGTGTGCAATAGTGGTAGCTGTGATTTAAATGCCAACTTTATGTGGAGATTATTGTTATCTTTGCTCTCAAAATAAGGAAAGTAAGTCATGGTGAGGTTGGCGGATATATCCGAAACCCCTTAGTTGGAGAAATCAGACATACACAGATTGAAAGTTCAACAACAATGAGAGTATTCTGGGAAGATGGTGACCTGAGCATCCACCTTGCTACCTCCTCTCCTAACTCCCCCTTCCTCCATTCTAATTCTAATCAACTTCCAGCTACCTATCTTAAGTAGAGCATTTTCCAGGTAGGGAAACAGGCGGAGCCTGGTGGATGCGTACAAGACCTCCCATCTGTGGGGGTCCAGCTGGAGAGAGCAGACGATGAACTGATTTCCAGTAATGGTGAACTGGGGACAAGAATCAGAGCACCAAGCTGCCTGGAGGGTGTGCAGCGCTGGGGGATCTGTGAACTCCTTAAAGGGTGGTGTGCCAGCTCGAGAGACAATCTTGGGTGCACCTGCTATTCTCCTTGGCTTTAGAGGAGTTCGGATGGAGCTGGATGGACAGATGGGCTCAGGTCCTCTCTGCCCTTGAGGCAGGTCCGCCACCTTGCAGCTTTGTGGGGAAGTGATTTCCTCTTGACAATTTGCCAGTAGGGACCAAGACTGCTGTATCTCCCACCATTCCTGCAACTCAAGGTTCCTCAACGCTAACCCCGGCAATTAGAACCAGGGTTGGAAGCAAAAGTAATGAACACCCCAAGGGGACCCAGTAGTCAGATAGAGAAATAACAATCCACGCACCAAGATGAATATTCTTCTGCTAAAATAGAACTGTCAGAGGAGACAGATAACCACTTTAACAAAGAATAAAAAGGATACTTATGGAGATGAAAGAATAGCATTAAAATAACTTCTCAGCACTCAAAAACACAGTCGTTAAATTTAAAAAATTTAATTCAGCTGAGGAAAGGATGGTCCCGGGTGAGGAAGGCTAACAGTATGAGGCAGTATATGGCAAAAGCCTAATGAATACTTTTGATTCTCAAATTGAGCTGATCATTAGATTCACCTGGGATGCCTGTTAAAAATATAGATCTTTCAACTTACCCAGCCCTAATAAGTCAGAAACTCTGGAAGTAGAGCCAAAGGAATTGCATTTTTTGTTTGAAGAGGGCACTGGTTATGGAGAACTGTTTGTTGAGATGGGAGGCAAATGTTGGATGAGTTGGAGCCTCAAGTCTACAAGAAGTAGTTAGAATGGAGCTGAAGGGGTCTGCGAAGGGTGGGTCGCGTTTCTGAATAATGGCCTACAAATATGAAGCAAAGATTGATGAATGTTTTGTTTGCATGGTTCCAACTTTTCACGGGGTGTAGTCACAAACATTTGTCACGATTGTAGATCAAATATCAAGTCTAAAACTTTTGTATGTACGAGTCTAGCCTTAAATAATGTAAAACACGTCAGATAAATAAGAAGTTGAAGTACTGTAATTTTTCAAAAGTTAAGAAAGTCTGGGTTCATCGAGTTCCCATTTCCCACACTCTGTGGTGTGTGTGTGTTTAATAACCGAAATACACAACTTAAATTTTTGCAGTCTTACTTTTTTAAGCAGTGACAATACGATGGTCCATTTCTCTCCCAATGTTCCTTTTCCAGAAAGATGGATCACCATTTTGGCAAGGTACGAGAGAACATGAATAGGAATAAATGGAGTGCTTGGAAGAAAAAATGTGTACTGGTGTGTTCAATTTGATAGAATCACCCTTGCATATTTTTTTCCTACATTTCCTGAACTACTCCCACTAAGGGAGACAACATAGTACCTTTTGGCTTTTTCCCTTCAAAAGGCTGCTTCTAGAGTCACTGATACAAAACAATAGGAATCAAAGGATTCATAGATCAAGAAAGATGGTTTTTGATAACTTCTAGTAGGTTATTCCCTTGGAGCTGGTTTTTTCCAGGAGGTGTGTTGGATTTGAACTAACGCATTAAAAAATTCTCACCTCCACTCTTATTTACTGACAGCAGCCAAGCTCCACAAGGCTGACCTTTCTGCAGTTGTGAGCCCCACAGCATGACCACTTCCTCAAGGGAAATGAGCCCAATATTTCCCTGCCTCAGAACCACAGAACACCAGTCGCATGAAATACTCTGCACCAAATGAAAAGCATTGCGCCATCAAATTTGGGATCAGATGCACACGCCGTGCCCTCACAGAAGACCACGGGACACATTAGCACATCTGAGTTTCTGAGGTCCCTGCAGCAGAAAAACTGTTTTAACTCTCTTTAACTCAGAATTTCCAAAATTTATTTAATTGCTTACATTAGTTTGCTAGGACTGCCTTAGGAAAGTATCACAGACTGGTTTATTATTTTTTTTTTATTGTGGTAACATTGGTTCATAACATTATATAAATTTCAGGTGTACATCGTTATACTTCTATTTCTGCTGAGTGGTTTAAACAACAGAAATTTACTGTCTCACAATTCTGGAGGCTTGGAGTCTGAGATGAAGGTGTTGGCAGGGTTGGTTCCTTCCAAGGACTGTGAGGGAAGGAGCTGTTTCAGACCTCTCTCCTTGGCTTGTAGATGGTCATCTTCATGGACACATGGTGTTCTCCCTGTGGATCTGTCTGTGTCCAAATTTCTCCTTTTGATAAGGACACCGGTCATGTTGGATTAAGGTCTACTCTAATGACCTCATTTTAACATGATAACCCCTATAAAGACCCCATCTCCAAATAAGGTCACATTCTGAGGTACTGGGAGTTAGGACTTACATATGAATTTGGGAAGGGTGGGGACACAATTCAATCCATTACACCCCTGAATACTTTTTTCAAATGTCATCTATTAACAGCCTGCAGCACACATTTTAGGAAACGCCACTAGGGCCTCACAGGTACCATGCTCTGCTTCAGTAGTTTCCAAATGCCATTTGCAGAATATACACAGAATCACTGGAGGGGGTTTTTAAAATTCCAGATTCTTGGGTCTCACCTCCACAGATTGAAATCTACTAGATCTAGAGAGGAACTCTGGTACTTGTAAAAGTAAAACCTGCCCAGATTCAGACGTATAACCAGACTGGAACTTCTACAGCCAGTTAGCACTCCCTTATTGTTTTTAGACTTGACTTTGGCCAGATATCTCAGAATAGTTGCATAAGAATTGTACCTCTTGTTAAAATAGTATGAAAGTCGGATTGTTTCCTCATCTCTGTTTTTATCCTATCTTGTATCTGCCTCCATCATGATACAAACTACTACTTATTGTGCATATAAAGACCCTGCCTTATTCGTCTTTTTATTCTCAGTGCCTACCAGAGAGATGGCACATAATGAGCATTCAGTAAGTGTTTATTGAATGAATAAGTACCTGAGGCAACATACATGAACATGTACAATTATTTTCTTGTAAGAAAAAGTTCTTTATATTGACAAACCTTTTCCTTGAGAGATTTCACCTTCTCTTAAGGTTTTGAAACATAACCCATGCAACCTTCTCCCGCCTTCCTGTTTACTCCAGCCCCAACAGCTTGCCCTTCATTTTCAAGACACTTCATACTCTTTTTAGCCTCAAGACTTTTTTGTACATGCTGTGTTGGGACTCATCTCTCTGCCCTCTTCCCCTACCCTGCCCCCAATTGTCACCACTATTTCCAAACTAATATTTGTCCTGCCTTCAAACTTGAAGTGGTGGCCCTCTTAAACATTTCCATACGATGATCTGATCATACTTATAAAAATTAGTTCAATGGCTGCTCTCCTTGCCAGACTCTAAGCTACATGTGGGCAGGCTCCGTGTCTGTTGTGTTCATTTTTGAAACTACAGAAATACAAAGTAGGAGTTTAAATATCAATTGAGTGTTTATGTACCTCATGGTGGTGATAATGCTTTTCTCCACCATGAAACCGGGAACTTTTCTAGAACAGGGACTTGACTTAATTCATTTTTATATTTTCAGCACCTGGCACAGTGACTACAAGACAGAATATTTTCAATAAATTTCTTTAAAATTGTTAAGACTTTTATTTATTTGTATATTTGCTTACTTTTGCCTAGATGAAAGCCTGAGATAGACATTTAGGACCATGGTAGATGTTGGTGAAAATGTAAAAATAGATTTGTTCTTTCTTGTCATTAGATCCCAAACTTAAAAATCCGTAAAATAAAAACAAACAGGGAATATTTAATGGAATCAAGGCACCCCAGACAGCTGATATGCTTCTAAAAAGCAGAGGGTAACAGTGAATGAAATAACAGTGTAAGTCATTTTTCAGATCGCCAAAAGATCATTTCAAATACAGCTCTTTGCAATTATCTTCTTATCAAGAAACTGGAGCATTTGTCGCGTGGTGATTCCACCAATTCACTATTTCTAAAGGCAGAGAAACCTCGAGGAGACACGCACAGCTGCGGCACGTCGGGACTGTGGCAATGACCAGACTTCAAGTTATGTGAGTTACCGGAACTTTATGGGACATTTACCTCTCTTCCTGAAGACGCTACTTTGCTTTTTAACTCTTGTAATGTTTGGTTCTTTCAGTGACAACCTACAGAGGACAAGGGGTTTCTTCACAGGATATTGAAAATTGGCTTCCTGGTAACATGTTCACCTTACTTCTACGCAATTATGTAAGGTCTGGAGAATGGGCTCTATTTCTCTGGGGAAGGTGGAAATGTGTCTTGTGTCTCTTGCCAACATCCCAGGTGTAGATCTGCTCACAAGGGAGCGGAGCAGAAGTTTTATGTTGGACAAAATTGCCTCCTTAGAAAGAAAGAGGTTGTGATCCTATTCATTTCTCTTGAAGATTAAATGGATTTTTGACATCTTTAATGGATTGAGATGATATCAACTGAAGTCTCTTGGCAGTAAAATGAGCTGTAAAAGGGGCTCTCTCTTAGGGAAAGGGTGTCTGGACTAGTGATGAAGCCTCAACAGCAGGGCTTGGGGTTTCTGGCACAGAGTGGCTAAGACTGGAAGCATCTCCCAATATAAAGATGATGGCATTAGGAAAATGGCTTGGCCTTTTGAGAGACCAAGATCATCCTCACCTGAATAACTACCAAGGCACGGGCCCAGCAAGGCCGCCGTCACAGCAGTAGATGCTGGTGCAGCAACTTCACAGGTTTTCCACTGAGATGTTGTGAAACCCACAGACCATCTCTGGTGGATCAGAGTCCCCTGCTCTCTTGCCGCCTGGGGTTTCTAAGCAGCACTGGCCTACCTCTTTGTTCTAGGTTGGTTCCTGGGATTCTGGGTCGACGCGAAGAAAAGACGAAAGCCTCAAGGGAAAGAAAAGTGAAGGATTTAGTGATCAGTTAATTTTCTTTTTAACAATGTTAGCTTTCTTTAATACTCCAGGCTGATGAATGGACCATTTCAACCACAGTGGCAAAGAATGAATTATTGATGTTGTAATAGTTCCTCATTACTGCCGTAAAAAATGACCACAAACATAGTGGCTTAAAACAATACAAGTCATTATTCTACAATTCTGGAGATCAGAAGTCCAAAATGGATCTTACTGGGCTAAAATTAAGGTGTTGTTGGGGCTGTGGTACTTCTGGAGGCTCTAGGGGAGAATCCATCTTGTTGCCTTTTTCAGATTTTGGAAGCTATCTACATGGCTTGCCTGGTGGCCTCTTCCCCCATCTTCAAAGCCAGCAATGTAGCATCTTCAAAATCTCTCCTTCTCTCCTCCCCTACCTCTCTCCCTCTCCCTCTGTTTCCAGAGTCACATTTCCTTCTCGTTTTAATCTGTTGCCTCCCTCTTAGAAGGACACTTGTGATTACATTGGACTCAGAAAATCAAGAAAGTCTCCCCATCTCAAGGTCTGTACCCTTAAACACATCTGCAAAGTCCCTTTTTCCATGTACAGTAACATACTCACAGGTTCCAGGGACTAGGATATAGACATCTTTGGTGGGGGCAGGGCATTTTTCCGTCTGCCATAGGCACCCTTCATCATCTCGGCAATGAATGAATGGTCAGCACCCATCATCACCTTAGCACACAGCAGGGCTCTTTAAAGGGTACTCACTGGTTAAGACAGGGAAGAGAGGAACAAAACTTATATCATTAGTACAACAGACAACACTTGGTGACTTTGGATTCTGGTTTGGTTGGATGGCATGGATGTAAGTGCCATTAACTGAGGTCAGCAATACATGAGAAGCCTTCAGAGAAAAAATACATGATTTTAGATATTTTCGGTTTGAGATATAGCATAAATTAATCCAGTACCAGATACAAATGCAAAATCTCTTATAATATATAATTGTGTGTTATATTTTATAAGGATTTGGCGTCTATATTGTTATACATTGTAACATAACATAGTTCCAAGAAAAATCTACCATGGCATTGAAGATACTGCAATGTAGGTAATTTATACGTCAATTCATTTCTCAGCTCTGTTTTGATCCCACACCAACCAAGATACAAAAGTAATTTTTCACCCATTTTCATAAGAAACACAAACACAGTGGGACTAATGTGATGTTGGTGGTTTTTCCTGAAGATTGGTGGGGGTATGGGAAGCAGTTATGGTACATTGTACTGTATAGATCTCTTCCATGTCCCTCCCATTTTTGCAAAGTTACTCCCCTATTATTTAAAGGTAGGGTCCAACCAACACTCAAACTCCGGAAATTTGCCCCAGAGCAGATTTACCCTGAAGCCATTGACACTTAAGTTTCAGGCCCCACTTGCACACTCCCTGTGAGTTCTGGGAGTCACTGGGAGCTGTAGACTGTTCTAGGTGGAGCAAGAAACCGGGGGGGGGGGGGGCAAATGTTGAGCATTTCTGAGAAAATGCCTCAGAATATCTCAGAAGCAAGGGACCTGTATCTCCAAGGCTTTAGGAACCTTTTTGTGGTTTTTATTCTCATTCTAGATATTCACTTTTGAACCTGATTTTAAATTCATAATTTTATATTTTCTCAAAGAAAGCCCTCCAAATTCTATAAGCTTCAAGCTTTACAAAACCTATCTATTCTGTCTAAATGGATTTATAAAAGCACTTACCAAACACAGATAGCTTTGTGCCATGAGGATTTTTCATATAGGCCTCCTAGACAACAATATTTTTGCATAGAATTATATATAATTTTCCTGCACCTGTATGATGTTGGCCAAAGTCATCTGTGTCCAATTCATTTTTGCATCGTTGGTGCTCAGAAAGTTACCAGGTGTTCAGTCAGAATTTTATAAAAATGTATTGATGTATTAGGTAAAGGGATGGGTTAATTTAAACTAATTCTTACATGTGATTTGATCTAATGCATAAAATTAGGGACTGAGCATCAGCGTTAACTGTGTACTTGCATTTGCCACTGTGTTCCCGGAGGGAATAGTATGAGAGGATCATCACCAAGGATGAAAACCAAGAGTTCTCAGCAGACTCACATTCATCCCTCCTCCGTGCTGTGAGACACCTGGGGAGGGTTCTCAACAATTGGTTGCCTGTGACCAGAAGGGACAGTTTAAGGTGGAAGCTTAGTTCTGACCACAGGTCAAGCCAAGGTCTCTAGTCCAGCTTTATCAATAAGTATCAATATTTATCAATAGCCAATATGTTGATCTTCCGTCTGCCTCCGGCATCTATCTATTTTTCATAGCTTGTAGTGGGGAGGGGCATGTTTAGTTATCATCCTTAAACCAAAACAATTCCTTCTGGAACATAAGATGCTATACTCTGTTGTTTGCTTTGCTAGGTCAGGAAATTCCTGCTCTGAGAGTTCCACAAACAGATTTGTTCAGATTTGAACTGACTTCAGAAAAAAAAAAAAACAATAAGAAAACCTCTAAGGTTAAGAGGTGGCTTCTGATCAGTAGCAGAATGAACAGGAAGGCAAGCAAAAGAGGCCTCTGAGATTCAGGCCAAAGGAAATGAAGAGGATGGTGGATCAGCCCAGAGGAAGAGCAGGCAATGGAAAACAAGAAAAATTAGTGGGAGGACAGAACAGAACTGACGGCTTAGAGGATTATGGGAGGAAGAAATGAAAGGAAGCAGATACAAGATTCTAGAGCCCAGAGAAACAGCCAGGCCCCCTGAGGGTAAGGAGGGAGGACAAGGGAGGCAGCAAGTCAAATCAAAGAAAAGGGTAGAAATATAAGGAGAAAGGTTTGAAGGATTGTGCACTGTTAGGGGTGGGGACACAAATTTATTTATTGCGTTAATGTTTTTTGTTAATGTTTTTCATCTAGTTCCTTTACAATTTTAGTTTAGAATTTCTTTAAATAGCTGTAAAATGGGACCATTATCTGGGAATTATTTTAAATCAAAAACAAAACAAAACCATTGCAAACAAGTGGGAGTTTCCATACCCCTAATCAGAAAGGCCTGTGTTGTGCTTCCAAATCCTGGCCCTAGAGACCATGAGAAGTTTTTAATGATAGTGTTTCCATAAAAGCCTGATTTAATACAGCCATCACCCAGACCAAATGTGGGGGAAATTTAAAAACTGCTTTCAAATCCAAGTCCTCCTTTGAAATTTAAAATTATATTCTAAGACGATGGTTCCTATAAATTTTAAAGCAAGGGAACAAACTAAAAGAAGCAGCACAAGGAAGATTTAAAAAGAAGCAGGATAGGAGAAAGGACTACATACAGTTTGGTTACATTTTCTCATAAAACACATCAGGTCTCATAAGCATATGAGGTCTGGGCCCAGTGGTTTTAAGCCTTGAAGACTCATTTTAAACAAACTACCTGGAAAAACACCACACTCAATTAAGTGTTCAGGACAATTGTATATCCCCAGTTTATCCATGTACTGGAAGTGCCCAAACTCTATCCTCAGAGGTCACTAATATGGGGTAACTCCCAGAAAACCCATTGCCATTCTCAATGGCCAATGGCTCTGGTAGTTTATGTGATGACAAACATTACTTTTCATAGCAGAGCCTTCCTTTGTTTGATAACTGTGTGCAATTCTACAGTTGGGAGATGTTTATATTTACATGAAAATAAATGTAAGCAAACCATCTTGTGGTAAACATCTCTCTACAAAAAACAAATTCCATCTTTTTACATAGAAAAAGGCAGCAGCAAAATGAAGTTAGTGCCTTTGGCTCCTTACGTTGTAAAATTATCTGGAAGCTCTTTAACATTGCCCTAAGAAATCATTTAATTTGGATTATTTCAGGGTACGTCACTGTTATAAAATTGCTTTGGGTAGCTGCATCTTTAATGAGGCTGAGTAGATAAGAGGAACAGATACTCTCTAGCTTCAAAGCTCTCTCAACAAATGTGAAACAACTGTATTAATTTAACTTAATTTATTTTAACCAATGGGTTTATTTGTACCCCGCCTTCTTCTAGAAAGGACTTAAGGCAGCTTAGCTAGTGTGAAGGGCTGAAGGTATAGGTACTCCTGGAAGCCTCAGATTAATATCTAGAACATATAACGTGTCCAGATGGTTTTCAATTATCAATGTGTTAATCTAAGCTTGGAAAGAGCTTTTAAACTACAGTGAAACATCAACTAGCTTCGAGCCTGCATTTTTAGCAAGCTATTTTGTCATTTGGAGACCTGCACAATAAACCCATTGTTCCTTTTTTTTAAAAAAAAAAAAAGAAAGAAAGAAAAGGAACCCTCTGGTGTTGCTTTTGTGCTTCTTATCATCTTATCATTCAGCAGCCTATTCAGGATCATATGTGGGAAAGTATGTGTGTAAGATTGAACCCTATACTCAGTGCAGGAATTTCTTGGAAAAACATCCTTCTTAAATGAGTAGCTATGTAAGAAATAAAAGAGAAATTTTACTTTTTTGATGAAGTTGGCTTTTTATTCAGTACGTTGCAAATCTAATATTTAAAATTAGGAAGTAGACCATCTATCTGGATGTTTTCACACTCCGTTTTTGTGACGACAGCCTGCTTAACTGAAATTAGTAATGGATTCTCGCAATAAAGAGGGAGAGAGTACCATCTTTAAGATGATCTGCTATGCCTCAATATCCCTTTGTTTTGAGATTAATTTAAAAGGTGGCAAAGAGACATATTTTCTACTGAATTATGCCAATAGTACACGAACGTTATGGGGATAAGAATATTCACAAAATTCCCTAAATACATCAGTATTTATGATTTGAGGGCCCAAGACAGAACCAAAAACCAATCTCTCTCTAATCTCAACACTGAAACAGACTCATTCTGAAATCCTGTTAACTGGAGTAACCCCAATTTATGCCCAGATTCCATCTGGGACATGCAGTAGCGCCAAACATCTCACAATTGAAGAATATTCATTATAGATATTTCTGTTGACAGAAATG